AAATGTAGATTTTAGTTTTTAAAAATCCATGGAGATCTAGTTTGGTGCCATGCAAAGAACACAGGAATAGGATGGGGTCAGGTGTATAGAGGGTGTTTGTGAAGAAGGGTGTGATGGTCAGTAGCTTATTGAGTGCCTGGTGAGGTGGTGAGCGCTGTTGTGCTCTCGTCTACTCTCCTGAGTCAGAAGACTGGGCCCCTCCCTGTGGCGGCACATCTCTAACCTAGCAGGACCTGATTCTCCACTCTTAAATCAGTGGCCCTTTTCATGCTCCTTCTAGCCCTCTAGGCTGGTTAAGAGGAGCAAATGTTGAAAAAGTACCTTATAAACAGCAGAGCTTTCAACAAATACCCACAGCTACGGTTTATCTGTTCTTTATATCCTTCTGTATTTTCCCAGCTTTAGGGTCTTTTAATTGTGACTATGTTAACCAAAATTTGGAGAACATTTTAGAAACAGAGAAATTTACCAAGAAACAAATTGAGCTATAAAAGAAAGGAGATAACATTGTTTGCAAAGACTGCCAGTCTTAACTCTAGAAATAGAAAAGAGAGACGGGGAGCAGGAAAAGATGGATTGTTTTCCACTGAGGCATGCGAGGAAGGCCTGGGGTAGAGGAGAGGGAATTTTATATACAAAGGGCATATATTAAGTGTCTTGAAATACTTGAAACAAAGTAAAAATATGATGTGGAACATTTCTTCAGAATTCTTAGAAAAACTTGCAGCTTCTAATAGACAATGACTGACTCTCTAGGTAAAGAATGGTAATATTATTAAGTTGTTTGAAAGATAGGACTAAGCTCTAAATCTTATGACTAACCATGGAATATAATGGACTATGTATAAAAGATAAAATACGGGTTTGAAATATTTGCATGTTATACACTTGAAATCATTGCTATTCCTATTATCTGGTTAAACATTTTTAAATTTGGGGGTGTACACACCTGAACCTTTTTTAAAGACAGCTTTTTAATGGAATAATGAATAAACATAAATGGGTTCTACTCCAGGACTCTCCAATAAGCAGCTGTCCAAATTCAAACTCTAATGCATATTTTATTTAGTTATCAGAATTCTAAACTCTTCAGGACTGCTCACCTATAAAATGAGAATATTAGGCTGATCACTTTCAATTTGAACAGTCTAGTATTTTATAAAACAACCCCTTTCCATTCCCCCATGTTGATTCTGTGTAATTTTTAAAAACTAATGTTGCCTTTAAAAAAATCAAGTTCTCCTTGTGGCCAAAAAATGAACAAGCATGATAGCTAGCTGGTATGTGCAAACTTGGCAGTTATGCGAATGCCGTAAGTAGCTTGGTAGGTACTGTCATCTGGTAGGTACTGTAGCCTCGTAGGTACTGTAACCTGGTAGGTACTGTAGCCTGGTAGGTACTGGAACCTGGTAGGTACTGTCACCTGGTAGGTACTGTAGCCTCGTAGGTACTGTAACCTGGTAGGTACTGTAGCCTGATAGGTACTGGAACCTGGTAGGGACTGTCACCTGGTAGGTACTGTAGCCTCATAGGTACTGTAACCTGGTAGGTACTGTAGCCTGGTAGGTACTGGAACCTGGTAGGGACTGTCACCTGGTAGGTACTATACTTTGCCTCACAAAGATTTGAAATGGTCATCAAGTCTTCTTCTCCACTAATCTTGTGTCTATTTACTTCTAAATAGTATCTTTTAAGATCTTCTACTCCAGCCATCAACTAAAAGAAAACATTTTTATTTTTACACGTTACTTTTTCCTATCTTTTGACACCATCTGCTTTTTCATATGACAGTTTGATTTCCCTTTACACTGTGACCAAAGAATTACTTGCCATCATGTTCCACTGGTGACTTCTCAGATGTCACTTTATCATGAGGGTGGGGCTCTGTGGAGGGTTCAGCTGTCACCCAGTAAAGCTTTCCTAGCACTCCTTGTGTAGCTGGTGGAAAAGAGCTTTTTCCTTTTCTTGTTTTTCACAACATGGACAAAATATATTAGTTATTCAGTGTTTACCTACTTGTTAATTTCATATACCAAAGAACAATTCATAAATAAATGAAAACTCTAAATCAGGGTCACATGAACTATCTCAGTGGTCTGAAGACATGTCTAGTGTTTCTTGAGAGTGGTTAGAGCCATATATTTTTAAATTAGTCTCTGGGGGCACCCTTACAGAGGCTAGAAGTAGGGACATATTTTTATCTATTCTGGAAGCTTCCTTTTAATAGTCTTCAGATTTATAAGCCTCATCTATGGCCATCTTCCAGGCCTTCTTATTAAATGATGGCATTCAACTTACTTAAGTTGAAAAAAATCCTTATGTTTCTGATCAACTGTATTAGTTTTGCATTAGATAGCACAATGCCATGTTACCCGAGAATTTTACTCCAGAAGAAGAAAAAGAAAAGAGTAAAGAAAAATTGCAACAAACCCATTTTGGGACAAAAAAAAAAAAGAACAAAGAATCAGTGAATCATAAGTTGGTTGCCTTTTTAATGGGTTCCTAAATTGCTACCCTAGGGAGCAGGTACTACTCTTAATTAAACCATTAACAACAGCAACTACAACCATCAATGAAAAATTCCACCTACTCACCAGCATTCTAACTTAGCATGTTGTCTATGACAAGCAGCACCCTGAAAAGATGGTCCTTTGAGGCATGCTTTGCCAAAAATCTATTATTTCCAGTACTCCCACTTGCCTGGGGGAGAGTATGGGTGGAAAAGTCTTTCAGACATTCTCATATGTCCATCATCCAGCACAGGTTAATACATCATCAAACTCACTTGCACACAATGATGCCACCCAGGGCCTGGAGTGCTTGTATTTCTCAGAGTTAAGTAGTGCTGAAATCTACAAAATATGTATGTGAGCTTCACTGAGGTTAAAGAGTGACTCTGCTGTTCTTAGCTGTTATCGATTGCGACTTAAAAATAGGCTGAGTAAGATTTAAGGATGTGTGTGTTTGGTATGAAAAGTTTCCCCAAAAAAGGTCTGGGAGAAAACTGACATCCCTACTGCAGTGCTGCACTACGAAGGCGGAAGGCGTTTGCAACTGGGAGGCTGAGCATCTTTCCTCTTGCTCAGGAACTTAGGAGCTACCTCAAAATAACAGACCCAGTCTGTTTCAAAAGCAGCACTTGCGATGAATAGTAGAAAGCCAAACACAACACCTTTCCTCCTTGTCATAAATCACTGTGTTTTTCATATAGATTGCATGTGGCGTCGGAGGCAGTGGAGCCAGGCTGCCAGTACTGCACGCTAATGCTTCAGCACCTTTCATTTTTCACTCCGAGCAGGAACCCTCTTCTGAAACTTGTTCATTTCACAGAGGGAAAATCGAAGCCACCGGCAGATTTTCAGAGCTGCTTTATTGACGCCGTTTACAAAGGTCGCTGGAATTAATTGACTTCTTACGTTACATATTGTAAACCGACTCATTTTTTGACACATATATGGGGAAGGTGGCAGGACCCAAGAGGCTGCTTATTGTCTTTTTGGTTCTCGTATGTTATAAACTAGGAAACCAGTAAGTCTGAAATCACAGTTTGGAAAAGAATAACACCCAGTTTCAAAGCAGCAGACTCCATTAATTGTTAGTTGAACTAAGAGAAGAGAGTAAGAGAGATCCAGCAGATAAAATGTAAAAGCCGGGTTTGTTTTAATGTCTTCACCGGACCCATTAGCAGGGGTAGTGAAGGTTTCTGCAGCCATCCTCAATTGGTGGCCTCTCTTTGAAAGCATATTCTAAGTAGCTGGCTCGCTTTTACAAGATTGGAAGTAAAAATAAGTCCACAGTATATTCCATGAATCATCACTACATGGATGCTCATAGAGTTTACGGAGAGTCATTCTGTCTCAGATGCTTATGAAACTAAAGATGCAGGATGCAGGGTGTAATATTTGTAGTACAGGGCACACTGCCTTCCTGGCACTTTAAATCTTTACCTCTCTTTATTTTTCACACTGTCTCCTTTCCCCCTGAATTAGAAAGGTTCTAACTCATATTCACAGCCTGCTTTCACTAAAATTAGTGTCACGGAAACAAGGACATACTGTTAAAATTGAATAAATTAGAGCCGAATTAAGCCATCCAGCTCAATAAACAGCAAAGGGAATATTACAGTTGGTCTGAACAAACAATCTTCTTAAATAGGAAATGTACTTTGAAGCCATCCTGCTGTGATCCTGTTAATTACCAAGAAGATTAGAACTCTTCTGGTTCATGGGATCCTTCAACCTAGTGTGTGGCAGCTTCGCCTGCATTAGCAATCAGACATTTGCACTGTCCCTTTACACCAGAGAGGGGATGTTATTAAAGGGAAGTCATTTACCCCAATCAGTAAAATGTAGTCTGGCATGAATTCAATAACTGTTTGTGATATGCTCGCTCTGCTACTCTGCCTGGTGCTTTTCACTCTTGACACACAACAGCATTCACCTTAATCTTCATCCACCAGGGCAGTGGGATAAAAATGCCCCATTGGCTTCCAAACAGAAAAAGATGGGTGATCTGCTTTTCATTACAAGTGATGTAAAAGGACCCCCAACCTCCCCCTTTCTCTCTTTCTCTCTCTCCCCCCTCCTTCCTTCCCTCTCTCTCCCTCCCTCTCTCCTCTCTCTCTCTCCCCCTCGCTCTCCTGTCCTCTTTTCTCCCTGCCTCTCTGTCTCCTTCTCCCTTCTTCCTCTTCTTTCACCCTCTCCTTCTCTCTTCTCCCCTTTGGCCCCCTTCTCTTCTCTCTCCCTCCTTTTTCTCCTCCCCCAGCACTGCTTTTTCTCTCCCACTCACATCCTCTGATGGGCATTCAAGCTAGTAAAATGCCTGTTGGAGAATCCCAGGAACACAGCTAGGCACACATAGAACCAGAGGGGTTTGAATGTGAATATCTTCTCAAAAGTGAAATGCTCTTAGAAATGAAATGAGGAGAAAATATCAAAGGAAAATTTAGCATCAATGAAACAAGAAATAGAGAACATTAAATAGCCCTATTTTAAACTTACCTTGCAACAGCAGTTTCAGGGCTAGACCACCTCCGGTGTTCCTGTGTGCAGTCTCTTGGCTGAGATAATCACATGGCTGTCTTCTTTCCGGGTGTAAATCAGTGCATATGTATGAGTAATAAAGTATGCACAATTATGTACTATAGATATGCACACATGCACGCAATTGTAGCTCTATGTTCTAAAATAAAAAGGAAGGCAGGAGGCTGCAGCTAGATTCCTTCTTTTGACTGAACTCTCTCCCGTCAGCAGGCTGAGGCTCTCAATCCAGTGAGGCGAGATCCTGCTGGCTGGCTTTATTTCTCCTTGTTTCCATGGTGGTTAGTGGTGCATCCTTCACCCGATCAGTTGTCACACTGACATGGTGCTGCCTGCTCAGCGGTCATTAATAACTGAACACCCTCCACTCCCCAGAGAGGAGCCAATCGCTTCAGACTGCCAAGATGTAGCACTCGCAGCTGCTCCAGTCTGGTTGGCTGAAGCAGCCTGTCTGTTCTATGACACTGCTGCTTAGGGTACAAATAAATGAAACAGGCTTGCATATTTTTCCTCGGAATCATTTTCTTTCCTTTTTTCCCTTAGGGGCATGTGGGAGAATTTTTGACAAGCTTTTCCATTTTGGAATTATCAGTCATTTAGAGAAACTGTTTTCTTTTTTGCTCCGAGAACAGGCAAGAAACACGAATAAGGATTTCCCCAATATTAAAAGCATCTGGTAGAGACTAGAGCTTCAGACTACCTCTCTGTGAAGTTCCGCAAACACTATACTTAAGAAGAGCTGCCTGCAGCTGTTCTGAGTGGCATTCGCTACCCCACACTTCTACTTTGGTTAGCATATGCACTTGCTCTTAACAGCTCCCTCCCTCCCTCCCTCCCTCCTTCCCTCTGTCCCTCCTTTTCTCCCTCCCTCGCTTAATCCCTCCCTCCTTTTCTTCTTTCTTACTTTTCTTCTTTTGTTATGGTTTTCGGTGACATTTCTTATGTGAACTGACCAGATTTTAAAATCATAACATATATTTGCTCCTCTGTAATCACAGCATATACATTTGAAGAACAATTTCTAAGGTACAGTTTTCCAGTTGTAGTCATAGTCACTTCTTCTGTGGT